CTAAACTCATTAGTTAATAACAACTATCTCCAGTACGGTTTTGGTTTTCCAGCAAAAAGTAGATAGGGTAGACATTACTTTAATTGCTTGTTATCGTATTGTTTTTTTTTTATTTTTATCTTTATTGTATAATGAGAGATAATTATTTCTCATTTTTTATTTTACCATATCTACATGTCATGTAATTGAAATTTAAAATATCTTCCTTTCAATAAAAAAAATAATTATTAAATTATTTAACTTGTTGACACTTGCTATCATATTGTTAAACCTATATTTTTAATGATTAATAAGACCAATTTTCACTATTTTGCTTCACTGGTCAATTTGTATTTTTTTGATGTGTGTAATTAACAGTTGAAAACGCAGTTGAGTCTTCGGGATTCAGTGACGTCAAGCCAGGTATAAGTGTATTTCCTCAACTCCAGACAAAGATTTAAATCCGGCCCTTACAAATTTATTCAAAAAAAGAAAAAAAATTAACAGTTGAAAACATGGGAGTATCCTTATTAGTTAAGGAAGAGAACTGGCATGAGCAGTTGAAAGAATTAGTCGATTATGGGGAACCTCTATTTTGTCTTCTTCAATTTGGTGTCAAGCCGTGGAGGAAAGATGGTTTTTCCTTTTTTTTTTTTTTTTGGGTTAAAGCCAACTATCATACCTCTACTTTGTGAAAAAGTTCAATTTAACCCTTCTACTATGTAATCACCTCAAGTCGTCCCTCTACTTCATTTTGAACTCACATGTCCTCCCTCTAGTATTCAAAAGGTGTTCAATTTCGTCCCTCCATCCATTCCTAGCCAACACTGTCACATTTTACCGTTAAAGCCTAACGGTTTGGCATTTAATATATATTTTTATATTATTCTTTTCTCTAATTTGGCTACAATAGGGCCCACCAATGCCACATCATACTTCATATTAATATCTTTCTACATAAATATTTTACAAACCTTTTTTTTTTCCAATTATTGGCCATGTTTATTTCTCTCTTTTTATTAACTTTTTAGTTGAGTTAATTAAAGGATATTTTTCAAAACTATGTAGGTAATGATGTAAATTTAATTTTTTAAAAGGAAATAGATAAAAAATTTTGAATTTTATTAAGGTTTAAAAAAATTATAATTAGAAGAAAAGTTCATAATGCCTACTAATATTTTTTAATTGTAAGTTTTGGGTGATATAAGATGAACTCATAATTTGTAATTCTATTTATGTGCATAAATGAGGTAAGTAAGTACATAGGTGAAGCATTTGTCTATATTTATATTTAAATTAAAAATTAACAAATATAAAATTTTAATACTCACTATTTATTTAAGTATTAAAAGTCTATTCTTATTATTCAACTTATTAAGTACATGTATACTTACAGTTTTACTTATATATTTATTAAATATTATAACCTTTTAATAAAAATTAAAATATAATTAAATATATTACAGAACATATACTTTAGTTCATATATAATATACGAATATAAATTTCTTTAAATGCACTAATTCAATGTGAGAGGTGTACATTTAAAATAGTTCTTAAAAAATATACTTTTCTTTCTTAAATTATAAAAAAAAAATTGTTTTAAGACAAATTCAAAAAATATTTGTATCCTAAAATAAATAAATAAAAATTGACATATATAAAATAAAGTACTACATCATTAATTAGTACTTTTTACCACCTTTTGTGTTTTATTCTAACTTAATTATGTACTTTATTATAAATATAAAGTCATATATTTTTCTATATACATATTATTTTTTTGATATCTATAATTAAGATATTTTCGAACCAACTCCCTTACATCTCAAGATTAATCTTTATTTGGGTTATTTTAAGGGCATACCTCTCACATCAAATTAGTGCATTCAAGAAAGTTTATATTTATATATTATGTATAAACTAAAGTATATGTTTTGCAATAGATTTAATTATATTTTAATTTGTATTAACATGTTAAAATATTCAATAAATATATAAGTATATATGTAAGTATACTTATATTCAATGGGTTGAATAATAAAAATAAACTTTTAATACCTAAATAAATATTGAGTATTAAAATTTTGGAAAATGCTACAAACACCCTCTTCCTTCACACTCCGTTACATGCACACTTACTCTCCGTCATTCTTTATTACTCTCCCTTAACTCTAAACTTCAGCCCTTTCTTTCTTTCTCTCCTTTCTTTTCTCCTTCTTGTTGTTCACTGTCCTCACCAAATCCATTTTTCTTCTCACCTCCATCCTCATTCTAATCATTTGCAGCCTCATCTGTAGCCCCATCTTCCTCTTCTTCATCATCGTTAGTTTCACCGACACAGAGTATGAAGTTGAGAAAGTGGGAACCTGCAAAGGAACCCAGATCTAGTGTTGGGGAAAGGGAGAGAAAATGAAAGGATTTAGAGGTTGAAGATAAGGATTTAGGAACCCAGCAACCTGGGTTCCTTCGAACTCTTTTCATTTTAGTTAGCCCTTTTATCTCTTGCTTATGGATCAAGACACCTTTTTGGCTTCTTCTGTATTACTCTTCTCAAGTGGGCTTCATGGATGTGGGAAAAGAAATTAGGCACAAAAAAGAAACTAATTTCATATATTTCATTGGTGAAATCATTTTTGCCTTCTTTCTGTTGCCCAATTAGAATGATACGAATTGAAATTGTAATTTTGGTTATAATAGAGAAAACCCATATCTGGGTTTGTTGTCTTCAAGGATGTTGCAAAATTTGTTTTCTTTTTTGGGTTTCTTTTTGAATGGCTTAGCCATGGTTGCTTTCTTCATTTCCACTCATTTCCATACAGGTTTTGGAAACCTAAATCGAGGTTTGCTATTTTTTTTTTTTTAAATCGTGCTCATTTCCTCTCATTTTCATACAAATTTTGGTTATGGTTTTATTCTTTTCTTATTCTTTGATCAATATTATTCCAATTAGAACATAGGATTTTCATTTTTTTGTCAACTTCTTTGCTGCGAGAGATTGGGGGTTTTATTGTATTTTGCAGGGGTGGAAAAGATGGATGAGATGGTTCATGTGCCTGATTTGGGGTTTTCTAAATGTGTTCTTGTATCCTTAAAATGCCTAAAAATTCATGCGCCATTATAGTAGTACAACCTGCAAGAACCATTCCAAGCAAAAAAGTTAAAGAGTACAAAGGAAACAATGATTTAGTTCAAGGCTTCAAGTTCTTTTTTCTTAAGCTTGAGGGAGAAGTGGATGAAATTGCAAGTTTCATTTGGGCATTTGGGAGTTCATGAAAATTAACAAAAAGTTAGTATGTGTAACGGGAGTGTGTAACGAAAGAGTGCAAATGTACTATTGTCTTAAAATTTTATATCTATTAATTTTTAAATTAAATACAAATATAGACAAATATTTAACTCATGCACTTGCTTAGTCTACTTATTTACATAAATAAAATCACAAATTGTGAACTTACTTTACACCACCCAAAGTTATAATTAAAGGAATAATAATAGGCATTTAAAAAATTTCTTTTTATAGATATAATTTTTTAAATCTTAATAAAATTCAAAAAATTTTATCTATTTCTTAAAAAAAAAAGGAATTAAATTTACTTAATTACTTATCATAGTTTTAAAAAATATCTCTTTCATTGACTCAACTAAAAAGTTAATAAAAAGAGATAAATAAATGTGGCTAATAATTGAAAAAATGAAATTGGTAAAATATTTATGTAGAAAGATATTAATATGAAGTATGATGTGGCATTGGTGGATCCTATTATAGCCAAATTGGAGAAAAGGGTAATATAGCCAAACCGTTAGGCTTTAATGGTAAAAAGTGACGGTGTCAGCCACGGAATGGATAGAGGGACGAAATTGATGACTTTTTGAATAGTAGAGAGAGGACATGTGGGCTCAAAATGAAGTAGAGGGACGACCTGAGGTGATTCCATAGTAGAAGGGTTAAATTGAACTTTTTTACAAAGTATAGGGATGTTAGATGGCTTTAACCTTGTTTTTAAAGGAGTACAGGAACATGGTTAAAAATTAAAACTTTAAAAAATTAATAATTACTTCCAACAATAGATAGTGGATGGTACATGGAGTGTGGTGTTTATTTTATAAGTACTCGTGTTATAATAAATTTGTTTTTTTTTTAATAAGAAAGGGAGATTCAAACTCTAATTTTAGGGTTGAGTGTGTATTTTATAATAAAATATATAATTAGCAGCTCACAAAACTCAAGTGTTAATAAATTTATTTTTTAATTTTATTTTTAGATTAAGAATAATATTATGAATATTTAGATGCAGAGGTTCTCTTAATATAAAAGGGTTTATTTCTTCTTTAATTATTATTATGTAATTTAGTGTAGCTTAATTATACAATAATTTTTCATTATAAAATGTATAAATAATGGAATGTTTTTTATTTACCAATTGAAGCAAGAATATTTTTAGGGTGATGGCATAATTAACGCCTTCAACAAGCCATATATATCTCTAATATTACTTTTATTTTTATTTTTATTTTTATTCTTTTTGTTTATGAAGGCTAAAAATTAAACTTTAAATCCATAAATAAGAAGACAGATAATTTTACTATCACACACATGCATGATGGTTCAAATATTACCTTCTGTTGGACTTGTTTTATAAGCATGTATTTTAAGTGCTGAAAAGTCTTATTTTCTTTCAAAATATTTTCTCAAGAGATGAAATGTTACTTACAAGCAATATCTACAAAAAGTTTCACCAAACAAACATACTTTAAATCATTCAGGACTTTGACATCATACATGCTTTGGAGTTCCATTTATGTTTCAGTTTAGTGACGTTTTGGTTATTGGTTGTAGTGTTAAAAAAAATTTAACAATACTAAAAATAAAATAAAAAGTTTAATAAATTAAAAAAAATAGTTTTGATTATTAATTTTGAAAATCATACTCGCCACAAATTGTTGATTTTAATTTTTAAATTTAGTTTTTAAATCTCAATTTAATTGTTCAAATTTTGGAAAATTAAAACTAAGTCTCAAAAACCAAGGGCTCAATTGAAATGAAAATGTTTTATGGTACCACAAGACAAAAAAAAAAAAATTTATGGTGCCACTGGCTTAATTGCATCAAAAGAGGGGTCACAGAGCAACGCGGGTCACGTGTCGCTTAGCTAGACACTCACACGAAAACTAACCGTCTAAGTTAACCACACCATATACCTCCTCTGCACTCTCCTTCCTCCTCGTGTAAATTTCATAGCATCGAGCACAAATGAAAATGATGGCATAACCAGACACAATCATTCCATCTGAAAAAAAGGGTTTATCGACCAGATCTAAGAAAGGGCGATCGAATTCATCAGAATGTCTAGCGACAGCGATGATCTCGACGAGGACGAGCTTCTCCAGATGGCTTTGAAGGAGCAATCTACTCGCAATGTCAATTACCAGAAGCCCCAATCGTCTGGTGATCGGAAACCGGTGGCTAATTACGTGCAACCGCCGGGGCAGAAGGCCAAGGGTACGATCTCGCAAGGTGTTGGGGGCAAGAAAGGGATGGCAAGGAAGGCATCACCGGATGATGATGAGGATTCGGAAGTGGAGATGCTGAGCATTTCGAGTGGAGATGAGGATATGGGAAAGCATTCCAAAGGAGGGGTTGGAGGGAGGAGTAGAGGGAGAGGAGGGAAGGAGGATGATGGATCTTGGGATGGAGAGGAGCCTGATTGCTGGAAGCGAGTAGATGAGGCCGAGGTATGTGCAAGTTAGCTCGCTTCGTTGATATGGTCTGTATAATAGTTTTCTACGAGTGCCTGGTGGTGTCTGTGCTTGCTGGTAATTTAGGTGAATTGTGCGTTTCAAACTATACGCTGTTCTGTCTGTATATGGCTGTTTGGCTGGATAGATTATAGATAATCAAAACCTTTGCATTTGTATTCTTGTACTGGGATTTGTTCGAATTAATGCCTCATTTGTTTCTTTATGTTTCTTAATATGGGGTAGGTGTTTGGAGCCTGGTACTCTCCTTGAACTATAGAGGTGATATTTTTTTATTGGTTCCTTTCCTTATTGTTCAGTGCGGGAGGGGAAGTTGAAGTACATGTGTGAACTATGCATCATGATATTCCCAGTTGTTTGTGTGCATACAGAGGAAGGTGGCACTTGGACCATTTAAAGTAGTGAATGGATAATTGCTGTATGCTATGTATATATATATATATATATATATCCAAGTTCTGGAACTCTTGGTTTTTAACTGTAAATTAATTCTGTTGTGAGAGTTATGGTGGTGGTTTTTTTATTTTTTATTTTTAACTATCCTAGTTGAGGTTGAACATTACTCGGTATTTTGTTTTTATTGGTTTGGAGATGATTGAGGTAGTGAATAATATGCCTCATCCTAGTTTTGTCTAACATTCCTGTAGCTTATATATGTGCAGATCATATATTTATATTTATGGGAGGGGAGGATGTATTCTCTGATTTTGGTTTGCTATATAGGCACTACTGTTGTGCCTATTAAGATTTATGGGAAAATGATTAAAATGTTGTACCAGATATTGTTAATGAAATCTAGTCCTTAAGTTGTGGTGTACAATGATGCCTGCAAGCTCTACAATTCAAAAATAGGTTGGGATGGTTTAACAATTATGATTTACTTAAGGAATGTTACCTTCCTCTGACAGCTTGCTCGTAGGGTTCGCGAAATGAGAGAGACAAGGACAGCACCAGTTGCTCAGAAGTTTGAGCGCAAAGCTACAGTGGCACCAGGAAAAATTACACTGAATAGTTTGCAATCATTCCCTCGTGGAATGGAATGTGTTGATCCTCTAGGGCTGGGGTAAATCTTCTCCATCCATCTATATTTATCTTGGAACATGGATTAATGGAACCTTTGTCAGCGATCTACCTTTTCACTTTGCTCTTGGCATGGCCTGCCGCTTCATTTCTGAATGATTGTATTTATGGACTCATTAGTTTATAATTTTCATCTTTCTGGTGTATGCATGTAGTGTGTTTGCAAGGAATTCTATAAGTTATTTGGTCGTCAAAACCACTCATTTCCTTATTGGACAAAAGGCTTGAAGGCTTAAATGATTTAGTTATTCTGCCAATCTGATTGTAGCAATGTTGGCCAAACTTGTATTGTTCCCCACACAGACTATTGTTTTCTGCTAGTAACTTGAGTTTTTCTTTAACTGGCAGGATAATAGACAACAAAACATTAAGATTGATAACTGATACATCAGAAAGCTCTCCATCAAAATCTGATCGTCTGGACAGTAGTCTTCGTGGTATTTATTTCGCATACTTATTCAACACTTCTGTTGCAGCTTATGAGATTTCAGATTCCTTTTTCATTTAGCATGGATACTGTTTTTAAATGTTAATCTATAATCGTACTGTAACTGTCTGGAACTGGATTTCTGCAGTACACCATCTAATTTTGTTGGAAATAAATGCTATCTTGTTAATTGAATTATCACATTGCTCAAAATAATAATATCAACCTCATTCTATTTTATAGTACCATTTTCCACATTCAGGATTCTATAAATGGAACTCATACCTTAGTTCTTGATTGGATTGTTCCCCCTATATACTGTTTACAGTTTGCTACATTTATCTGAGAATGTTGTAACATAAAAGGCTTTTTATTTTAGGGAATTACTTGGCGTGAAGGCTGTTGAGAGCTCCATTTTTTGTTGTTGTTGTTGTGTTTGCATGTAAATGAAAGCTTGTCTGTTTCATGTCAGGTCTTATTTGAAATTGGTTAAGATTTGTGTTCTTATTAAACATTAATCTTTCTGTTTGCCTGTGGTTTGCATGCTTTCAGCTCATAGCTTTTAGTTCTCAACTTTTATCTTCTTCCCATTCCTTTTCTATCCACTGTAAATGATTTTCTGAGGGATCATTTAATAATGCATTTTGTGTGGCACATTCAATTAGGATGAATGTGGTGGCTATTTGCATGTCTGTTTATTTTAGAGGCTGTTGCAAGCATTAACAAACTCTCAACTTCCCACATACAAATTTTTGTTTTTTACTTCTAAGTAATTACTTTTTCTTATTGTGCTAATGGAATGTAGAATTGGTACTAGAATACAGCAGTTCATCTTCCAATGTTTCTGCTGCCCCCTCTCCTTTTTCTTTTTAACACTATTGATTATTATTACAACTTAAATGAGCTTGTTTTTTCCTCTCCTCTTTCTTTTTACTAGTATGAGTTCATATCTAGGTCACTGATTTCTATTGATCATGCATTCATATGCTGCTACCAAATTACCTATTAAATTTTATTGTATCTTCTTGTGAAAATTTGCAGAGAAGTTAATGTATTTTTCTGAAAAATTCGATGCAAAGCTGTTTATATCCAGAATACACCAAGATACAAGTGCGGCAGACTTGGAGGCTGGTGCTCTTGCTCTGAAAACTGATCTTAAAGGCCGGAATCAACAGAGAAAACAATTAGTTAAAGACAATTTTGATTGCTTTGTCTCTTGCAAAACCACAATTGATGGTATGCATGAATCAAATTTGCTTGTTTATCCCTTTTAAATTTTAACTATTCAAGTTGAACTATTTCTTGGGTCACAAACCAACCTCTTCTTTTACCATTGTCTTTCCTGTGTAATTTAGCCTTTTTCACTATTTGGCTCTAATGTCAAGACTAATGATTCTTTTATAGATATTGAGTCAAAACTGAAACGGATTGAAGGCGACCCAGAGGGTTCTGGGACTACACACTTGTATAATTGTATGCAAGGAGTAAATTCACTGGCAATTCGTGCTTTTGAGCCTCTATTTGAGAGACAGGTTGGAAGGATGTAATTTTTTGCTTTGAAGTTTCTACATGTCTGTTGATGACATATAAGCAACATGTACTATATGGTGTTTCTATCTAATGAGTGTTTTTTAGGCTCAAGCTGAGAAGATTAGATCTGTCCAAGGAATGCTTCAGAGGTTTCGTACAATATTTAACTTGCCCAGTACAATTCGTGGGAGCATCAGTAAGGGTGAATATGACTTGGCAGTCAGGGAATACAAGAAGGCAAAATCAATAGCTCTTCCTTCCCATGTAAGCAACAATTGGTTTTCTAAGTTAATGAGTAATCTGAAATTTTCTAAATTGTTAAGGAGGAAGCCAAATAATACTCTAATGTTCTCTTTTTAGTCATTTCAACTTTCCAGTTTCTAAATTCTAGTAAGTTTTCATGTTCCTTCTGCAATAGAATAATATTCTGTTATTTTATGTACTTTGTTGTCTAATGTAATTTTTATTTCCTCTGACTGGACTAAATTCTAGTGAAGAAATAGAATGAGATCTTATCATGATGACAATTCTAGTGTTTATTTATGAGACAAAATTCTGTTGCTTTTTAGAATTGTGGCCTTCTACTATTCTGATTCTATTCACAGTGGTTTGGAGGTTCCCTATTTGCATGAAAGTTCTCTTTCCTGCTTAAATACTTTATATTTTTTTTGGCACATCTGATTTGAATATGCTTATTATCATTATCCTTTATTTCAGCTAAACATACTCAAACGTGTTCTTGAAGAGGTTGAAAAAGTAATGCAGGAGTTTAAAGGCATGCTTTATAAGTCTATGGAAGAGCCACAAATAGATGTAACAAGTGTAAGTGTTAGATGCCTTCTTTTGGATATTTTATGGTCGATTAATGTAATTTATGTCATCAGTTAGGGGTATTAGAAGGAAATCAATTAATAGTTGTTCAACTTTAATGCATGAGTCAGAAATGTAATGGTGGGTTTTCTTTCAATAGTGAGAAGGAATCCCTTTTTTGTTTGAAAGGTCTTATTTGACAATGTGAATTGAGTTGCTGATGATGTTTAAGTGACATATCAAAGGATTTTGGCTTTCTTTTCCTGTGCATGCACTAGGCATGCATCTTGCATTTCGTTAACTTCTGCAGTGGATGTCTTACTATACTATCTTGGATGTGAGAACAGTAAAGTTCCTCTATTCAAGTTTTTTATGTTGTTCTTCTCCATTGAGAATTCATCAGACTCATCATCCTAGCAACATAATAGAAGCCTTAAAAAGACCTAGTTTCTTAAGGACCTAGCCACTCTAATATTGTCATTTGGAAAAGGTAAAAAGTTGAAATATTTTATCCAGATCATTAGTTTAGCTTGACATGATTGCATGCTTGAGAACATTCTATAAACCTTGGATAAATTATGTGTTCACATATTATCTTAATTTTTCCTTCTGTGTTCTTGATCTAGTAAAATAGATAAGTAAGTTATTACTTTTTTTTTCAATTTTGTGTTGTTGCTCAAACCTTTTGTGTGTGTTATGCAGCTTGAGAACACTGTGAGACTGTTGCTGGAGCTGGATCCTGAATCTGATCCTGTGTGGCATTATTTAAATGTACAGGTTCGTAAAGTTAAAGTCTTTTGTAGCTTAGAAAATCTGTCTGGCCATTAATCAATTTGCTACTTGCTACTCTGGTGAGTTTTGCTTGTTTTTCTTTTCCTTGCACTCTTACAACTTTTTCATTGTTTGAACTTCAAAGATTCTAGCTGTGTGGTAAGCTGGAAACAATCTCCTTATGAAGCTTGGTTGAAGTTCCTTCTCCTTCTCCTTCTTTTTTTTTTTTTAATCAATTACTGTTTTTACCTTTGAACTTCATTGGCCTTGGGCAGCTAATAATTGTTATCCCCTAACCAAACACTTGAGTGCCTATCCATACACTCACAAAGATGAGAAAATTGCAATTAGGAAACAATTTTCTAGTGATAATTACTTGATATTTTAGTTGCGAGGCAAGCTTAGGGATAACATCCAGACTATTATCTTGGGCAGAATCAGAGAATTAGGGGTTTGCTTGAGAAGTGTACTTCAGATCATGAAGCACGGTTGGAAAGTTTGCATAATGCAATTCGTGAAAGAGCTCTCTCTGATGCAAAGTGGAGGCAAATTCAACAAAACTTGTTTCAGTCGGTAAGTGCAACTATTAAGAATGACCAATGATAATGACATGAGAAAAACACTTTGCTTGGTCCTAATTTTGAGTTTTACATCTGTATTTATACTGTCAGTCAGATATGAACCGCTTCCCTGGGAGTATTGAACCGCTGGCAGATCTCGAAGCAATGGACTTGACAGGTGAAGAAGTTGATGCCCTTAGAGGAAGGTATATCAGAAGATTAACTGCTGTGCTTATCCATCACATACCAGCCTTCTGGAAAGTAGCACTTTCTGTTTTTAGTGGGAAATTTGCAAAGGTATTGTACACATTTTGGTCAGAAATATGCTCTTGCATCTTGTTTCTTTTTCTTTTCATTTCTTTTTTTTTTTTTTTTTTTCACTTTAAGTTTAGGGCTAATACTGTTATGAAATTGCAGAAGGTGAAGAGTCGTACCAGTTAATGATTAACATGTAGTTATTTCTTCCATGGAGATTAAGCTATCCTTCTGATTTTGGTTTGTATTCCTCTTCAGTCTTCCCAGGTTTCTGACTCTTCAGCAGTTAGAGGTGAGGAAAAAATTGGAGATGGGAAGTATTCAAGCCATTCTCTTGATGAAGTTGCTGGAATGTTGCGTAGTACAATATCTATATATGAAGTCAAGGTGAATGTTAACTCAAATTTCTTTGTCCCAGACATGATGTAACTTATGACTGTTCTTTCTGCTTCCTTTATATTAAATAAAATTAGTGCATTTGGGAGAAATTTAGTAAGCTTTCATATGGGCAAGTTATTTATATTCTGATACTATTTGTAAATAATGAGGAGCCTTTTTCAACTAATGTCAAAATTCATGATCTTTGCCAGAGTCATGTCAAATGTTAAAAAAGTTTAGTGTTTGTGAGTTAATAATCTTCCCTTAACCTGACTGAATGGGGTCAACTGGAAAATTATCTGCTGGGTTTAGTCTTTTCTTTTTTAAAATTTTATTGGGCACACTGAATGTGTGTAATTTTAATTTGTAATGCATTAATTCACAGTTTTTATGTTTACAAAAATTTCATTTGGCCTTATTTGTAATTTTTTCACTATTACATAATACAGGCTTGTTTATGATTTTTTTTTTTTTTTTGTTACAACTCTTTTTTTATTATGCTGAGAGACTGCAAAAATGCATTGTCTATATCAGGAACAGCAAGTAAACAGGATAAGTCTCTAGGACTTTGAAAAACTGACAAATTTTATGCAAGCATTTGCTAATTTATCTACTAGATGGATTTATCATTTAGCTTCTATTGAACTTATTTGTGGTACAAGGCAATCCACTTTTATCAGTATGTAATTGGTTGTGTGGCTGTTCTTAGTGAGATGACTGTTGATGTAGGTTCTCAACACATTTCGTGAACTTGAGGAATCTAACATTCTTCAATCGTACATGAGTGATGCTATAAAGGAAGTATCTAAAGCAGGCCAGGCTTTTGAAGCAAAAGAGTTGGCACCTCCTGTTGTTGGTATTTGAGCTTTCTCTTTGTGGTTGAATATTCTCTTGGTTGTTTGACTTTATATTATGCAATTATTCTAATTGTTTCACTTCATTTACTGACAGTACTGGCACTCAGGGCACTACAGGCTGAGTTTATCAAAATTTACACATTAAGGCTTTGTTCTTGGATGCGGGCCTCAACTGAACGAATAACACAAGATGAAACATGGGTTCCAGTCTCTTTTCTTGAAAGGAATAAATCGCCATACACCATCTCTTATTTGCCTCTAGCTTTCCATTCAGTCATGGCCTCATCTATGGATCAGATCAGTTTGTAAGTCTCTAGATTGTGTGTGTGTGTGTGTGTGTGCATGCATCTGATGGTGAGTAACCCTCCCCTTTCCCGAATCCCTCCCCACCTGTCCTAGGATTCAAACATGATACATCCAACTTGGAGTCTTAAGTTCTTACCCATTGAGAGACCCCCTTGGGGGCAAGTTCTAGATTTATAATAAATTGAATGTATTAGAAGTGATAATTGGAGACAATGTTTGCAATTAATTTTAAGACAGACTCTAGCTTAGTAAGAGAACATAGGAGAACATTAATTTTAAGCAGACTCTAGCTTAGACAATTTCAGAAATCACCTTAACTTTAGTTTGGGAGTTCAGAATTCATTTTGAGGACAGGGTTGAATTAGTATGTTTCATATTAAAAAGCATCATATGGGAAACATTATAGCTTGTCAAACGTAAATCTGACAATAATATACCTGATGTGGTATTAGAGAGAGAAGCAAGTAGCTATGTCATTGTTGTTTTTGTGCCCTTTTTTTTTTAATTACTTTTTATTCTTTTTTTATGTGTAACATTTTTTATACTCTCGTTTACCATGAAATCTAGGGCAGAAAAGCAATGTCATAAGTAATGATATGTTTTTCATTGGGCAACAAGTGCCACAGCTTGGTTCAACTCATAATAATGTCCAAGCTTGGCTTGGTGGCTTCATGAGCTTGCTCACTTACGCTATGGGCTTGTGCTCATGCTTTTTTAATCTGTGCATTTATGTCTTTTTTTTCCCTACAATTTTCATATATAATTTTATTTCTTCATTTTTTTATTGAAAAGAACTTTAATAGGTATGATCCCCAAAAGATTTATGCATTCCAGAAATTGATTGAAGCTCAGGTCATAATTTGAAGATCTATTGATCAGATAGGCCAAACTTAATCGTGAGTTTGGATAGTTAAATGAGCTTAGCATGGCCATGCTCAGACTTGATCATGAACTGAGCTTGTCACAAGCTTGATTGTTAGAATTTCTATTGAACCACCAGAAGCTTCTCTAAGAAGTGTGTTTATGATTCAATTCACCAGTGCAATTGTGAAAAACTTTTGAATTACCATAGCGTTGTTGAATCCAAGAATAATGTTATTTATCTAGTATATTTGTAACATTGGGCAACAAAAAAAAAAGTATATTTGTAACATGAGCAGAATGACTAATGATTTTAGTATCTACTTCCAAAATATTCTATATTTTCTGCTGGATGTATTTGATCCTGGTCTTTTCAATGCTTTTGCGTATTGAAGGTCTAATTAAGTACTTTGTGATGGACAATTCAACTTTCCATAACTTTTTCTTACGTTTGGTTCCTTTATCCCTGTTTTTGACCTCAAGGATGATTCAGTCTCTTAAGAGTGAGGTTAGAAAGTCACAGGATATGTCTGCACAACTTCAAGAAATACAAGAATCTGTGAGGCTTGCTTTTCTGAACTCTTTCCTTGATTTTGCTGGTATGGCAGAGAACTCTCCATTTAACTTTTACTGTTTGAAATATTTCAAAATCTTCTCAAATTAGTGACTGCTTTTGTTCTATGCATGTTGATCAGCTCACCTGGAGCGTATTGGAAGTGATCTTGCTCAAAAAAAATCAAGGAAAGGAAGTTCATACATGTTAAATGGATATTCTAATGAGCAACAGGAAGAATTGTCATCTGATCACCCAGGAAGCATTGTTGATCCACATCAACGGTTGTTAATAGTCTTAAGTAATGTTGCATATTGCAAAGATGAGCTTTCTCTTGAGTTGTACAAAAAGTACAAGTACATCTGGCTGCAATCTGGGTATGGATTCTTTTGCACCTCCTCTTTCAAAGTGAAATAATATAACTATTACTGTGGGATTTTTGAATTATCCCATGTTGTAAAAAAGCACATGAAGCTGAAATATGATGTGGTATATGGACCGGTCATACTCAAGCAAACACTAGTCAATGGTTGCTCTATTGATCTAAGCTGGGCTTATAACTAGACAAGGATGTGGATGCCAGCATTTGATAATATGTATATTTTTGTAATCTATTTACTAGTGCTAATATCTTCTCTTTACTAGTGCAGGGAAAAGGAGGAAGACACTGACATACAAGATTTAGTAACGTCTTTCTCTGGGCTTGAAGAGACAGTCCTCGAGCAGTATACTTTTGCAAAGGTATGACTTGCTGAACTTAAAATAGTTGTTATGAAAATGATTCTTCATCTCACTAAAACTAGCTAATGATTGGTTGGATGTAATTATACCTGTGTCATGATCCTGATTGTCTGCACCCAATTACTGATACAATGTAAAGATCTTGATTCTTTAATCCTTTTGGAAGTACTAAATTATGACTTATTGGCAATTTTCTGGTTATTTGGTGGCCAGAGTGATATTTATTTTGGTTTCTTGTTTGAAGTTGAATAGAAAATCAAAATTATAAATTCAAGTAATCTTTACTACATGATCTCTGCTTAATGGTTTGAAACTGTTCCCATTTCTGTCTATATTTTGGAACCAAAAGTGAAAATGAGAAAATCAATAAGAAGTGTAATGCCAGGAGCTTCTGTTTTAGATGTATTTGTTGCCAGAAATTGCTACTTTAGCAACCATTAGCTGGTAAAGTTTATTGAGAGATTTCCATTGGCTTACTGTTTAAACTGTTGGTTCATTAAATAGTAAAATGGCCATGATCTAGATTGTGCATTGTTAATTTACCCTCTTGATTGAATACTACAGAGTTTATCAGAGAATTTTAGCATTTATTTAGGCCTTGGATGTTTCTACTCTCTTCCAGGCCTTCATGGCTCCTTGCTCTCTACCCAACTGTTATGAAGCCACCATTTGGGAGAACCATTGGAACTATTTATAGGAAGGGAATGTTCCTTTAGAATTCTATGTGGGCAGCTGGCTCTGTATGTTGTAGTGGAAGGGTCTGTTTGGTGTGGCTTGTGAGAGCTTTTGCTTTTTGAGTACTGTTATGAGTGATAAATTTAATTTTTTATTGAAGGGAAATTTAAAAGTTGCTTTTAGAGATAGGAAAAAGTGAGTGAAGAGTGAGTAAAAAGGGAGTTTATGGAAAGTTTGGATTTGAAGCTTTTGAGCTTTTACCGTTTAAGGTCTTTTTAAGGTTAGAAAAAAGTTTAAAAATGTAAGTTTTTAAGAGGGAAATTTAAACTTATGAAACATGAATAGTGTCCAAAAGCTGAAGCTCCTAGGAGCTCCACCAAACAGGCTTGAAGTATACACTTTTAAGCATTTTCTAGTTGCATTCCAGCCCCGAATTAAATGCATCATTTTAAAAGACAAAAATTGGCATCTGAGTACATTTAGTGTTTTTGGGCCAACCAAGAAACCTGTGCACATTTAGTTGTTAAAGAAATATCATCACAAGTTAGAGAATTGTTGTCACAATAATAGCAACATTTTTTAAATCCTTATGTTTGCTGACAATCCACTTTTCCTGAAAATAATTTACTAGTAGAGCTCTGGATCTTTAGATTTGTTATATTCTTGGTTGGGCATGTGCAGTACCAAAATCCAGAAGTCAGGACACAAGCCTCTTTCATTTATCATTCAAGCTGATATAAACTAAATATTTAACAGTGAAATGTTTTCTATAATGGCTTTAGTTCACATTTTTGTCATTAATTAGCAATTTTGACTTTTTCCATCAGGCTAATTTGATCAGGACAGCTGCCATGAACTATTTGTTGGATTCTGGAATGCAATGGGGATCAGCACCTGCAGTCAAAGTGAGAGAATGTTTCCTTTTCTTTTTTCCTAGAAAACCAGTTTCACTCATGTAATTTTATAACTGAATGGTACTGTGTGATACACCTACCTTGCAGGGTGTGAGAGATGCAGCTGTTGACTTATTACACACATTGGTTGCTGTCCATGCTGAGGTACTTATTACTATCTTGTAGGGCATAATCTTATTATTGTTTATTTATTGAGAAAAAGCATTTTGAAAATTTGAATTGTTTTTGTAGCCTATTGTACTTAACTATGTATATCAATAATTGGCGAAGCAATATGGGTTTTGAAATAAATAATTTTTCATCCAGGTCTTTGCTGGTGCCAAGCCACTCTTGGACAAGACACTTGGCATTCTTGTTGAAGGTCTAATTGATACTTTTATCAGCCTTTTCCATGAAAACAAAACTAAAGAATTCAGGTCACTTGATGCAAATGGTTTCTGCCAGCTTATGCTTGAGGTAATATGTGATGTTTTACTTCACTAATTAGAAAGCCCTTGAATACAGCAGTTGATAGTTGCCACCTCTAATGCATTTCAGGAAAGGATAGTTTCTACAAATTTCTTATTGTGCAGATGATGAAATTTTTGCTATTACTTAAATCATGGTTCATGGATTCAATCTTTTGTGGAGGCCTTTTCCTCTTTAATTATTCACAAGTAATATTTATGTCTTGGGCTGACAAGTACAAGAGTGCAAGTTCATGTCTTGACTCTTTGAGAGCAGCTGCTTTAGCAAAATACCTTGTTTTCCTTAAGAAATATTAACTGCTTCACATAGATTATAAATATTATCTATTTCTATTTAACCTAACGTCATTTTACCTGATTGATAGGAGTGGCTTAGATTTCATTTTTCTTGGTGATGTCTTTTGCAGCTTGAATATTTCGAAGCCATTTTGAATCCATATTTGACAGCAGATGCTAGGGAGTCTCTGAAGTCTTTGGAAGGGGTGCTGCTGGAGAAAGCCACTGAGAGTTTAAATGAAGCTGTTGATGTTCCCGGGCAGCAACGCCGGTCAACTCGTGGAGGTGAAGATGGTCTTGCAGATGAGAGGCAACAAGGGATGGCTGTATCACCAGATGATCTGATTGTAAGACCTCTTTCTCCATTGTTTTTTCCTTCATCAAAGTCTTTACAATGACAATTTTCTCGAAGTTCTTTAGATGCTGATATGGCTGTTGGTGTGGGTTTGTAATTATAGCATCATAGCCTGCCAAACTTAAAGACTGGAGTTTGAAGCAAGAACTAGATCTCAAAGATTATCTGAGATCTTCATTATAGGATTTTATTGGTTTAAATAGACAATGCCAGAACTAGTTAATTTCAGAAGCCAAGATAATAGCTTGACCAGCAGAACCACTTATTTATTCCATGTTCCGGATTTTCACAGGCTCTTGCGCAGCAGTGTAGTTCCGAGTTGCTCCAAGCAGAGCTTGAGCGTACCCGCATTAACACATCATGTTTTGTGGAGTCAATACCACTGGACTCAGCAGTTCCAGAATCAGCTAAAGCTGCCTATGCTTCCTTCAGAGGACCTATGGACTCTTCTAGCGGAAATTACACAGGAACACAGGCAGTGGCATCTCCTAGTTTCTCTCGGCATCGGCGTAGATAAATTAGTAACATTATTATTATTTTTTTGACTTCATCATCAGCCCATCTGTATGTTCAATTGTTGTAATGTAGTTGTTGATACTAATAAATTGAGTGAAATTGACATTACTTTTTGGTTGAGTTCCATTGCTTGGGGTCTATGTGTAGGGGTTCTTAAAATGTTGTGTAACATTTTGTCCTACCCCAAAACCATGTCAATAAAAGTGTCTTTGCATCTACTTATAACAATTCATGATTTCAGATACAGAGGGTCCTGTATTAGCTGGGAATACTAATTAATACCGGGACTGCCAGCCGTGGAGACCATGGGCACCAGCTTATTTGCGACTTTTGATTGTGGATTACGAAGGGAACCTTTTTGCTTTTTCTTTTTATTTGGTTTCCTTTTTTTTTCCTTTCTTGCTTTTGCAGTTTTGGGCTTGTTTTTTCTTTCTTTTCCAGTTTTGGGCGTTTTTTTGCGTTTGCCAGTTTTTTTGTTTCCCCTTACTTTTTTAGTTGGGTTTTTCTTTTTTTGCCTTAATTTCTTTTTTACCTGATGATAATTAATCTCAAGAACTTCAAAACTAGCCATAAAAAGGCAAGCGTTAAAGTATTAAAATCACTTGTAGAAAGATATTTTGATTCTTCTTAATAAACTAGGCCTTATATATATTCTTTACATAAATATTTTTTACCGTCTTTTCTGCATTTTAAAATATAAGTTCAAAGTTTTAAATAGACAAAATCTTTAATAAATTAAACATGTAATTTGTTTGCCTTTTTCCTATTTTAGATTTTTTTTTTATGTAGTTCATTCTTAAAAACCATTAGAATGCACAAAAAAAAAATTTTGAGTTATAAATTTACCAAAGCGTCCTTAACGAAACTCCTTTTCATATTAATTAATTTACTAGTAACATTTTAATAATTTTAATAAATATAGTGTGCCTTTATTATGCCGTCCATACTAACCACATTCAACTCAAAAAGACAAAAACCGTTCTCTATTTTTCATTTTGCTCAAAATGGCCACAGGCCAATACCTCAAGGCCTTGATAGAAAAAAGAAAAAGTAACGGGCCTTGTTTGGGCCCAGGTACAATTTTGTTTAATTTTACTTTTATGCAATGATGAAGGGCAATATGGCAAAGCGAGGGCAATACACAACCCTAGAAGAAACACAAGCATACTAGGCATATATATTTGCATCGTTCCCCCTTTCGTGGCCTCTGTTACCTGCAATTTCTCTCCAATCTGATTCCGACGATCCTTTCGCCGTCGCAGCTCTCAAGTGGGTTACTCTTTTTCTCGGTATGAACAATTTATCATTTCTGTATTCATCCTCTCATGTCAGGGAACTGGATTTTTTTTTTTTTGTTGATTATTTTGATTACGTTCTTCTTCTTCTTCTTTCCAGTTGCTTAATTGTAGATTTGATTACTGTTTACATATGATTCTGTTATCAATTTGCAGGGAGCTGATTAGCTGGTGCTTGTAAACTTTAATTCATCCATAAACCCTAAGATTTGGGATGGGTCGGAAGAAGCCAAGTGCTCATGATGATGAAAGCCTCGCTGCTGCAACGCAGGGTGGTGCCAAATCGAAGAAGAAAGCTAACGTTATTGATGATGATGAGTACTCTATAGGTACTGAGTTGTCTGAGGAATCCCAAGTTCAAGAGGAGAAGGTGGCGACCACTGGAAAGAAGAAGGGTAAAAAGGGGAGCTCCAAAAGAAGAGATGGTGACGATGATGTAGTAGAAAAGGCTGTGGAGGAGGAAGAGGAGATTGTTTCGACTGCTAATAAGAAGTCTAAATCGAAGAAGGGTGGCGGTGTTGCTTCGTTGGGTTTTGGTTTGCTTGAGGAGGGGAAGGAAGATGATGATGATGATGATGAGGGGAAATCTGGGTCAACTGGTGAGAAAGATAGTGAGGGTGAGGAGGAGCCCGTTGTGAGTTTCTCAGGGAAGAAGAAAGCATCCAAGAAAGGTAATAAGAAGGGTGGTAGTTTGCTTACTGCTTCAGCATTTGATGCTATTGGTGATGAAGATGAAGAAGAGGTGGTTGATGGTTCACACAAGGAGAGTAAAGTTGAGGATGATGACGGTGTTGATGATGTGCCCCCTATATCTTTTACAGGGAAAAAGAAGTCATCCAAGGGGGAAAAGAAGGTTGGTAATGTGATTTCAACATCTGCATTTGATGCCCTTGATGAAGAAGTGGGTGAGAAAGAGGAGGAGAAGAAAGATGAGGATGATGATGTTGCTCCAATTTCGTTCTCGGGTAAAAAGAAGAAGTCATCAAAGTCCTCTAAGAAGAGCACTAATTCTTTTAATGCAGCACTCCTTGACGATGAAAATGATGGGGAGGCTTCTGTACCTGAAACTACGGCATCTGTTGATGATAAAGGTGAGGATGATGATGCTTCAGTCATTTCATTTTCGGGTAAGAAGAAATCATCAAAGAAGAAGAGCAATAGTGCTGTTGCAACTTTAAGTGATGATACTGGCCTTGGAAGTGAAGTAAGAGATGTGGTTGAACCAGAACAACCAAGTGGTGCTAGTAATGAAGCTAATGATCCTAAAGCTAACAAAGGTGATGAAGTTGTAGAAACTTCAAAAAACAAGAAGAAAAAGAAGAAGAGCGGAAGGACTGCACAGGAGGAGGATGACTTGGATAAGATTCTTGCAGAACTTGGTGAGGGTCCCGTATCAAAACCTGCTTCTCCTCCACAACAAGAGGAAGTTCAGGTTCAGCCTGAACCAGTTATCACGGTAGATGCTGAAGGTGAGAAGGAAGGAGAAGAAGAAATTGCTGAGTCTGCTGCAGCAAAGAAGAAGAAAAAGAAGAAAGAGAAGGAAAAGGAGAAGAAGGCTGCAGCTGCAGCTGCAGCTGTGGCAACATTAGATAGCAAGGATGAGAACCAAGAAGAAACTAAAATTGAAACAACTGAAGCAAAGAAGAAAGATGCTAAGAGTAAAGCTGCAGAGAAGAAATTGCCAAAGCATGTTAGGGAGATGCAAGAGGCACTTGCTAGGAGAAAGGAGGCTGAAGAGAGGAAGAAGAGAGAGGAAGAGGAGAGATTGAGGAAAGAAGAAGAGGAGCGTCGTAGACAGGAAGAGCTTGAGCGCCAAGCAGAAGAGGCTAGACGTAGGAAAAGAGAAAAGGAAAGGGAGAAGCTCTTAAAGAAGAAGCAGGATGGCAAGCTATTAACTGGGAAGCAGAAAGAAGAAGCTCGCCGCCGTGAGGCTATGAGGAACCAGATCTTGGCTAATGCTGGAGGTTTGGTTCCACCTACTGATAAAGATGCTGCACCTGCAAAAAGGCCTATATACCAGAACAAAAAGTCCAAAACAGCTCAGCATCATGCAAATGGTGCTGCTTCTGCTAAGCCAGAGGAAAATGTAGAAGCAAAGGAAAAACAACAAGAGATCGTGGATGAAGTAGATTCCATGGAGACTGAGAAGGTTGAAGAAGTGGAATCAGTAAATACTGAAGAGAAATCAGAAGTTGCAGATGCTATTGAAGAGAATGGAGTGGAAGAAGATGATGATGAGGCTGAATGGGATGCAAAAAGCTGGGATGAAGTTAATCTTGATATTAAAGGTGCTTTTGATGAAGAAGAGGCTGATTCTGAGCCAGAACGTGCAGTGAAGAAAGAGATAATTGGTGCTGTTTCTGCTCGCAGTGCAGGTGGGGGGTACCACTAGTTATGTTCTATTGTTGTCGATATTCTTTTTGGTTTCTTTTTCTTCTACTTGGCTATAATTTTTCTTTAAATTTGGATTTGACAGCTCCTCCTGCAGGAGGCAAGCCAACAGTTCCATCCAAGAAAGGCATTATTTCACAGCCAGTTAAACCTCAAGATGTTGAAACTAAGAAAAGTGAGACTGAGGTTGTAGTTCCAGCCAAAAATAAGAAAAAAGATGCATCTGGAGGAAACAAAGCACCAGTTTCAGATACTCTTCCCAAACAGGGTGAAGAAAACCTCCGTTCCCCAATTTGTTGCATCATGGGCCATGTTGATACTGGTAAGACAAAGTTGCTGGATTGCATCCGAGGCACAAATGTTCAGGAAGGTGAGGCTGGAGGTATCACGCAACAGATTGGTGCAACATATTTTCCTGCTGAGAATATACGTGAGAGAACCAAGGAATTGAAAGCTGATGCCAAGTTGAAGGTCCCAGGCCTGTTGGTCATTGATACCCCTGGTCATGAATCATTCACGAATCTTCGTTCACGGGGTTCTGGTTTATGTGATATTGCAATTTTGGTTGTTGACATAATGCATGGGTTAGAGCCACAGACAATAGAATCACTCAATCTTTTAAAAATGAGGAACACAGAGTTCATTGTTGCATTGAATAAGGTGAGCCTCTACATTTGCTTTCATTTCCTTCAATTGACACTTAATTTTAATTATTAATTATTTTTTGGGAATGGCAAGAATATTTCATTACTAAATCTCTTGAGGTGCTTACACGGTAATTATTTATTATTTTCTTTAAAAATATTGCAGGTTGACAGACTTTATGGGTGGAGAGTTTGCCGTAATTCCCCAATTGTGAAGGCATTGAAACAACAAACTAAAGATGTGCAAAATGAATTCAATATGCGTCTGACACAGGTCAAATACATATTAACATTTTATTTGTTTTGGGAGTTTCTTGTCCACTAACAGTTTGTAAGCTTGTTTGTTTTGGTCTTTTAGATTATAACGCAGTTCAAGGAGCAAGGGTTGAATACTGAACTGTATTATAAAAATAGGGAAATGGGGGAAACTTTCAGTATTGTACCTACCAGTGCTATCAGGTTTGTCACAAGTCTTGGACTAGGCCTTGACTAATTAACTGCATGCGTATGTTTGGCCATATTCCTTATTTTTTTTTATGCTTTTCAATGTTACAGTGGAGAAGGCATCCCAGATTTGTTATTATTACTGGTCCAGTGGACCCAGAAGACAATGGTTGAGAAGCTTACATTCAGTAATGAAGTGCAGGTTTGATTGATTATCTGTTATTTTTAAGTAGCTAATGCTCATCATTTTCATTTCAAATATGAAATGTTCTGACTTGTTTTCTATCATCTGCCAGTGTACAGTCTTGGAAGTGAAGGTAGTTGAAGGCCATGGAACAACCATAGATGTGGTGTTAGTTAATGGTGTGCTTCATGAAGGAGATCAAATTGTTGTTTGTGGCTTGCAGGTAAGCACTTAATCCTCTTATTGCTGATGATACGGGAAGATATTATATAGATCATTACCGTTAATTTTTCATTTCAGGGGCCTATTGTGACCACCATAAGGGCATTATTAACTCCTCATCCAATGAAAGAACTTAGAGTGAAGGTATAGTTTTCTTGTTGGACGTTTTTTCTTCTCTTTCATTGTTAGTTCCCTGAGAAGACATGGATATGCATATTATTTTGACCAAAAATTAATGTTAAATGGTATTGTCAATTCCTCCTAATTTTTTGAATTTCTGTTACTAAGAATGCTATGATGAATGAATAATACTTGTTATTACTTGTTAGCATACTTGCGTGATTGCATAATGGGTTTATTGAGTTGCCAATGCATGTGCCAAAAGGGCTTTATCTGTCAGAGTCAGACCTGTAGCTAATAGGACTTGATTTAATTTTAAATGTGAATTTTACCTTAAAATTCATAAAATAGGGTGGCATTATAATTTAAGGATGAGGTGTTATGAACCAGAGTAATGATGACTATATAGGTCTTAGGACTTCTCAGGATGGCCATTGAAGAAATTATCCATGAAACTGTTGTATTGGTGGACATGGCAAAATAGTAGGGATGTAACAATTCTCGATTTTACAGTCAAAACAATGGGTAAAGTTAGATAAAAATGAGCATTTGTTTGTCCATGTAAAGATCGGATCCAACTAAGCTTGCAGTTCTGCCTGACTTTTTATCAGCTTAGTGTCCTGCAACAGCCTAGAGAATCTTACTATTTAGATACCTGTTGGAGGATGTCCATCTCTTTTCAAATCTTTGGGGGCTTTGTAATAGAGGTCATGCTAAGTATGCTAGTTTAGGACCTAGTCTTTCTCCCTCAACAATAGGAACCTGATTGTGAAAACCCTTGGGAGTGATTATGAAGCTCCATACAACCTGATGCTTTCTAGATAAGAAGCAAGATTTTTGTCAAGTTTCATATCTTGCCTGCTGCTCATCTTATATGTGATGCTGGAACTGTGAGGTTCCTCCTAGTTACTTCTTGAATGTTGACATCCTTTGTAAGCACAAACTTAACTGCATTTATGGCCTGAGGGGTTGAACTTAATGCTCACCCTTTCCTTTACATTTGGATTTATCATGTAACTCCTTGGAGTGTGTGGTGACAAATTAATGATGCAAGTTCCTAGGTAGAGGGAGTGTCATTAGCTAAGAATTGCTGGTATGTGGTGAAGCAACTATAGCATAAGCATTATAACTTGTTAAATTGGTCAAACATTTGAATAGCTATAGAGGGAATATTTTGGTCTTTTTTATGGAATATAATTGTAAATTACCTGGGCAAACCTCTTTGTAGTATTTTCACACTAGGAATGATGTTATTTTCTGCTACATACTGAAGAACTGATACCCTATGATAATTTTGATGATGTTTAACACAATGCACCAAATTTTTATTTGTTCTTTTGATCATCTTAATTGGAGATTTTGAAAATGGTTTAATCTGCCAAACAATTTCTTTTGTGTATCTGTTTTGAGTTGACTAGTCCTTCCCCATAATAGTTGGTATGTTGTAAGATAGGATCTTGTATTGTTGTATCAAACTTCTATGTTAGTGGAATAACTTCCATGTTTAACTTTCTTTTGATTAGATTTTTTTCTCAGGAAGATGTTGGCAATGATTCTAAAAATGATGGTGCAGTGCTTTTATTTTTGTTTGATGATTATTTATTTGGCTGATTCCAGGGCACATATTTGCATCATAAAGAAATCAAGGCTGCACAGGGTATCAAGATCACTGGACAGGTTGTTGTTACTTCCTCAACATGGAGCCTATTCTGTGGTTCTATGTGCATTTGTTAGCTTGAATATCTTATTATTGTGCAACGGAGAATAACCAGTGTTATTATCTTGATGCAGGGTCTTGAGCATGCTATTGCTGGCACTGGTTTATATGTTGTAGGGCCTGATGATGATTTGGAAGAAGTCAAAGAGGCAGCAATGGAAGATATGAGGTCAGTTATGAACAGGATTGACAAGACTGGTGAAGGAGTTTGTGTACAGGCATCTACCCTTGGCTCATTGGAAGCATTGCTAGAATTCCTGAAGACCCCAGAAGTGAATATTCCTGTTAGTGGTATAAGTATAGGCCCTGTACATAAAAAGGATGTCATGAAGGCCAGCGTAATGCTAGAGAAGAAAAAGGAATATGCTACAATATTGGCTTTCGATGTGAAAGTGACACCAGAGGCTCGAGAGCTGGCTGATGAACTGGGTGTGAGGATTTTCATTGCTGATATCATTTATCACTTGTTTGACCAATTCAAAGCATATATTGATGGGCTCAAGGAGGAGAGGAAAAGGGAAGCTGCTGATGAAGCAGTCTTCCCATGCGTTCTTCAGATCTTAGGAAACTGCATTTTCAACAAGAAGGATCCAATTGTCTTGGGGGTTGATGTTGTTGAGGGCATTGCTAAGGTACTATTTATCAGTTCATTTAGTTTACTCCCTCCATAATAAATAATAAATATATATGGTTAAAGATAACAAGAATGTGCTAATAATTACGTGAAAGGATGAGATGATTTGGGATATGGCCTGAATCATTTATGTGCTTTCTCACCTGAACATCATATAGATTGCTCTACAGATGCATTAAGGTTCCTTTTTATTTTTTTTCCTTTCTGCATAAATGTCTCTTGGTATATAACTAGCAGATTATTTTCTTTTGTGAGATAAACATGTTAGGATAGCTGTACAGAGTTTATCTGCTGTAAATAAACTTGTTTGGATGCAATTTATACTGTGTTTAGTATCTAGATTCTCTGTCCTACCAGCTTAGGTGGATAAGCTGGCCTAGGGTCCCAACTTTTATCACTTTTTTTATTTTGTAAAAGTGAGAACCCATGTAATATAGTTTTTCTTTCCTGTTAGGGATGCTTGCGTTTGTGGGGTTTAGTGTTCCCTGTCCCCAATGAAGGATTTTAAAAGTGGAAATTATCATTGTAATTAAGGCGAATTCGTGAGTAATTCGTTGTTTTAGGCTATTACATGTAGATGTAAATTATGCAGATCTTGATAGTATTATTTTTCTTAGTTTTTGAGTAGGTATCAACTTACACTGGTGTAGGTTTAAGAAACTCTCACACCAATTTTCCACCACACATTTTAAAATTTAAGGGTTGTTCTGAAATTTCAAATGTTGCATTAATTGCTAAAATTTTGAAATGATTGGCTGAGAATTGGTGTAACACTTACACTAGTGTAAGTTGATTGTAACTCTTTTTCTTATGTGCTTATTTGCAGCAGCCTTCTGATGCATTTGCCTTCTTGTTCAGGTTGGTACCCCAATTTGCGTTCCAGGAAGGGACTTCATTGATATTGGTCGGATTGCATCAATTGAAAACAATCATAAGCCTGTTGATATTGCAAAGAAAGGGAGCAAGGTGGCTATTAAGGTACTGTTGTTGATATATATATATATATATATTTTTGTCTTTTGTGACTTAATCAAAAACAACTAAACTTCAGAAGAAAGTTATGGAAATGGTGATATGGTGATGTCACCAACTTCACCACGTTGAAATTAGCCCTTTATGCTGTTTTTTGAGGGCCTATGAAACCATAAGATCACATGAAAGGCATCAAGAGTCAGCTAATGCCACCATATGTCAATGATCTATCTCAATTAGATTTGAAATTTTCCACCTCTCTACCTTCTCCTTTAAAAATCTGATTTATTACTGTTAGCGATACCTATCTGCTGATCACTTTTTTTGATGTTGCAATTCACTCTACATGATTCTTTATTTAAAAATATATTGCTTGCTCTTTTTTCACATTGAATATTCATGAGATTGTAACTATAAATGGAAATACTAAATTTTGAAGATGCATGCATTTGTAGTTGGTTAAATGTTTTAACTCAGCTTCAGTAACACAGAACCAACTATGACTAAGAGCTTTTCCATTGTGCTTTTGCAGATAGTTGGAAGCAATCCTGAGGAGCAACAAAAAATGTATGGTAGACATTTCGATGTTGAAGATGAGCTTGCCAGCCATATCACTCGGAAGTCAATAGATGTACTCAAAACTAATTATCGGGTAAGTAATGAATTACACTTCTGCTTCTTTTTATTTCCTAATCTGGTGTATCTTAATGGGCAGTGTTTTCTTAAGAAATTCTGTGTGACTTGAACATTTGTAGGATGATCTATCAATTGAAGAGTGGAAGTTGGTTGTGAAACTGAAGAGTTTGTTCAAAATACCATAAACATGGATCGATGAATAAAAGCTGAGCTTTCGTCTTCTGTCAGTGCATACGAGGTGCTTCTCCTGCAGGGGTGATCTTGATACGAAGATTGAACTGTTTTTTTCTGAACAGGAAATGCTTAATTCTTTGAATGACTCCCAATTTGGGAGGATGAAATACAAGTCCCGCTGTGGCTGTTGTCTTGTATATGAGGAGCCGCACGATGGTCGGTGGAGCAAGCCTGCTAAGTTTTGCAACGCTGTTTGGATTTTTTTTTTTTTCCCTATGTACAACCAAGCTACTCGAAAAAACAGCAAGCCTAAGACCCAATTATGAGTGTAAAGTTGAGGAAGTCTCTCTTACCTTCATGATTTCCTATACACTCTTGAATCCTAGATCTGCACAAGCAATGAATTTCGCTTCACTGGCAATTACTTTATTGATATTAACCATAAAGGAGATCAGTTATTTATGAACATTGGGATACGTCTCCCCCATTTCCTCCCAAATAAAAGCCATCGTCCCAAAAATCCCCTTTATGGGAGTTATCTCCGGCCTTGTAACATTTTGCTTTTTTTTTGCTCCAATGGGTGCATCAATGGTGCCATTTAGAGATGACCTCGCTTCGTAGTTCAGCACTATTTGTCTGAAGTGGCGGCTGATGTATTGCCTATTGTCACCATTTCCCATGGTTGGGACCTGCGGTGTGCTACTGTAAACCATTCCTCCCCATTTCAGAGCGTCAGCACCACTCTTCAAGTTTGAGAACAAATTGCCAGGCCAGTAACCAACTAGTGTGTTGTTTCCTCTGAATTTATCCTGAGGAACTGCTAGTCTGACATGATACTGAGCGCCGCGAAGGACCGAGATTGGCTTCAGGATCATATCAACTGCAATGGTGCGATCTGTCTGGATGAAACCAGGGCAATATGTGTTGTAGCAACCATACATAACTCCATTGACACCTTGCTGATACATTCAAAACATATGATCAATTCTCTTGGTCCGTCTCATTGTAGGCTAACGACGAGATAATTTCCTCATTACTTTCATTTTTTTTTCAAACGGCTTCAACTTGAAATTTTACCATTCAAATATATGACACATAATTGTTGGTTTCAATCTTGGACTAAGAAAAAAAAATGTTAGTTTGGGCTAAAAACATATAAAATGCCCATAATAGTTTGAACAAACAAATTAAAATGTGTCATAAGTATTTTACACATTTTTAACACGGTTTTGAAGCTTATTTTGCTTGTCACTTTTGAAAGAAGTATTTTGATATATTATAAATGTTATAAATTTTAATTAATTTTCAAGTTGGAAATTGAATTAATCAAAATGAATATTTAGAAAAATATTTGAGAATATGAAGGTTATTTATGAAAAATAAAGATAGAGATACATACCCCCCCAAAATTGTGTATAGATGAGTATTATTGTCATAAAACATAGCGGGATCAACCTGAAACATTGAGCAACATTGTAAGACTAAATATTTGTGAGTAAGAATAAAAACACTAGTCCTGCAAGACGGCTTACAATCCAGCCAACCCTTATGACACTAAACTGATCAGGAGGACCTCCCTCGATCGAAACTGCTGTTGCACTGAATTGTCCGGGGCTCACTGTTGGATTCCAGATACTAACAAATCCTCCTGCACCATCATACACCGTCCCCGGCTGAAATTTTGTGCCAATCCCTGCAAACTATACCACATATTTGTATATTCAAGGCATTAGTGCCGCGTTTTTTTTTTTAAATAACATGAGCTTTGGTCTAAGTAGACGGTAAGTACTGCAAAACACCCCCATTCACACAACTTTTGACATTAACTACAACGGATGGAAATGAATTAACTTACTATAAATCCTGTTGAGGTGACTCCATTTACTGCATAAGAACCTGGAAATTGATCTCTAAACATAGCTGTTGCTCTTAATGATTCTTCCTTCGTTGTTCTTCTAATTGGGACTACTGTTCCCAATGGACACCCAATATGGATTGAAGATTCATTTTTTCTGTGCATTATTAGCGGCATTAACCCTTTGTCCAGCAAAATTATTAGGTCTCATCTGTTAAACAAAAAAAAAAAAAAAGTCCTTGTGTCAACAAAATCTGTTTCCAACTGCACACTATTAAGATCTAAGATTGATGAGTGAACTCATGAACCTGAATCTTGTGATCCTTTAGCAAATGATGTTCAAAAGCTGGTTGTTTATAAATATACACACAATCATACTTCTCTTTCATATTTGGTTTGCAAACAAAAACAAGGTAGAGTACGGAATTATAGAGTATAGAATTATAATATATATACGAAATATTCTAGAATCTCAATCTACCTTTTAATTATATAAAATATCAATTTTCTTAACAATAGTTTTATAATCTAGCTAACTATATATATGAATGGATCAAAGAAAGTTCTCCCTAATTATTAATCATGCATCAACAAAGATTAGTGAGTAATTGAAAAGCTTAAGTTAATCTTTTTGCATAAAAACAAACTTTTATATGATATACTCAATACATATACCTTGATGGTCTTAGCATTTCTTTCAATGGATGTAATTTCCCTCATTTTTCCTTCTGTAGATTAGAAGCTAAGAATTAAAGAGAATGCAAGAGAAGTGATGAACAACTTGAGTGCACTATAACTTTCCATTAGGCTAATCCAAACTCTACTATACCCTATCTCCCTCCCTCATTTCTCTGTGTATATTTATACACAGGGCAAGCAATAAATCTTATGCTAGTTATTAATGAACTTTAGCTGTTCCTTTCCTTTTCAGTCTGAGAGATTTTGGTACTTTATTTATATATCCTTGAGGAGTTGAGATCAACTTAGTGTAAGTGCACCAACTCTCAATAATTTATTTCAAAATTTCAGTTATTAATGCAATACTTACCTAGTTCCTTAAATTAGTGTAAGGGTTTTTGAGGCATATATTAATTAGAGTGTAATAAATACATTTTCTTTCATTATAAATTTATATTGAAAAAATAAAAGTTAATTTTTAATTTATTACTCATTCAGTTAAATTTATTTACTTGGTAATGATATTAAAATTAATATCAAAGTTTATATATTTTAATATACATTTATAACAAAAAAAATATTTTTAAAACACATGTTAAAAGGACAGTTAATGTAATAGTTTCTCAGACTTACACTTCTATTAGTTGATTCCTACTCATCCTTAATAATCATTAAATGAGGGTTGGAGTCGAAAAAAAATCATTAAAAATGGGAAGAAGACATCAATATGCCTTTTATAATCTTTTTTAAAAAATAAAAAAGTCTGAAAATAAGTTTAGAGAATTTATAAAAGACCTTAAAAAAATAATAAAAAATATTTAAATAATTTTATATAAAATTTTGTTATTTTAATGGATAGAATGTACTGATTTTCTACACTCCCTTAAAAAAATAAATAGAACTTTTATAATCTTTAAAAATTGAAAAAGAATACCCGAAACGTCACCGTTTGTAGGTCAGGGTTTTAAGAATTAAACCTCCCAAGCCGCTCCCCCCCACGCCCCCTGGTTTTTTCCTTCTTCCCCAACTTGCTCTACTGCGCGCCAGTCCTCCGCCCCCATTCATCCGCCGCGCCTCCGTTCTTCTCCTTTTCCTTCCCTCCATTTGCATCTCCTCTCCATCCTTCCTCCTCCATCATTGCCGCCGCAGTCCCCTCATCTCCTCCACCGCCACTGCCACCGCCCTCCTCTACTGCTGTAAGTCTACCGTCCGTCACTTTTCTGGCTCCCTTTTATTTTATTTTTGTTTTCGTTTTAGTTTTTAATGTCTTAATTAAATTAAATTAAGGATTAGTGTTAGAATCAATAAATTAATTGTGTTGTTAAATTTTGAATTAGCAAGAGTAGAAGCTTGTAATTTTAATTAAATTATTTTATTTTTTATTTCATCAATATTGTATTATTTTTTATTAACTTTATTAAATTAGGATAAACCCTGGTCCTCTACTTGTCTCTCCAACATGGAGGAAGTAGAAGCATCAACAAACCCATGTCCACTAATAGTAAAGGAACCAGCTTTTTGTGAAGAGTGCAAAAGTCATCCATCAAAGTACAAGTGCCCAGCTTGCTCACTCCGTTCTTGCAGCCTGCCATGTGTCAAAGCTCACAAGCAGCGCACTGGCTGCAATGGCAAGAGAAACATGACCAAGTTTGTTCCTCTGTCCAAGTTTGATGATAATCTCCTACTCTCTGGTACTCTCTTCTTTAAATCACCTTTTCTGAAGTTTGTTTTATCATAATGCGTGATTGATCACATGTGCATGAGATGGAATTTGATGCTTTTAGTTATTACGGGATGCATTCTCTGTGTACTTGTGAGAATTTTTAGGTTTTTGATTTGCTTTGATTAGAATTTGATTGTGTTTTCTCCCTCTCTCCCCTTTTTTCAGGATGATGGTTGGCTTGTGATTTGATTGTATGTTTTTTTATTAAAGTAGTCATCCCTTGCCACCTTTCTTCCGCATTGTTTTTTCTGTGAATAATACATTTTTCATTGAAATAGATGTCTTAAGGGGAATGCTATTTGTGTAATGAAGTCTGCCACTTCTCACATTTTCCTATTATTCTAAATGTTTTGTGAAAATGTATGAGTAGATTATAATTTGCTTGAGGAAGTGAAGAGGATTGCTGAATCTGCACGAAGAGCAAGAGCAAAGTTGTGTGGTTATTCTCATTTTAAGCTACCATTTGTCCTTCGAAGCCTTCGAAGTGCTGCTGCAAGTCGTGGAACAAGGCTATGGTTTCAACCAGATGGGATGTCAAAGAGGGGTAAAAATCAAACTCGGTATTATCAAAGGTTGTTACTGCTTCTGCAAGAGCCTTTCTGCCATTGTGTTATTTGCATGCTTTCAACGTTGGCTCTTTTCTTCATAGCTTGTATATGGTCTTAAATGTGTAACCATGATATGAGACCTTCTAACTGCTTGTTGAATCCTTCAAGAACTGTTAGGTAAATTTGGAAAATGTGAATTCTTCAAAGTTAATTTTGTATCAGTATGGTATAATCAGTTTTGGCCGTGTACTAGACTAGATTCAAGAATCTTTGGATTTTTAAGTGGAAGGTTGATACTTTATATGTTCTTTCCTATTGAGAGAATAGGTCTTTGAAATATGCAATTTTCCCTTTTTGTTTCAGGGAGAAGTTCATCTCTTGGACGATTGAGTGGCGGTTTCACACAACAGATGTTGTTTTACTTGACCATGGGTGAGCTGTCCTACAACCTCCTTTTCTTCCATAAAGCTTTGTGTTGAAGTGGTTGTTTTTCTGTTTAGCAATCTTGTGGTTTTTAAATCCCCTATTATGGTGGAAACTAATGTTGTTTTACAACTGATGAATGTTTGTTGTCTCAGAGTGCATGAAGAGAAAAACTTCTGCTCTGTAATTGAGAACCATCTAAAACCTGGCCCATGGAATCACCAGCTAAGGCAGTTCTGTGAGCAGCCACTAGAACATCTAAAGTTTTTCATCCGCAAGTATCCAAAGGTGCTTTTTTTTTTTTTTTTCTCTCTTTTGATTTCTTAATTGGACTTGGGTTTTCTCTTTTCTTCTTAATACATACTTAGATGCTAGTTTGTTTTTGAATGTTTATTTTGAACTTTCAGAAATCCATTTAGACCCTAAGTAGTTAGAGAAATCCAGATCTTGAGTTCAGATAGTATTTACCTTGTAGTCTTATATCTGAAACATTTTTCAAACGTGTGTTTTTACTTTTCTTGTTACTTATGCTACTAGTTTTCAATTTCCGACCACTTTAGATTACTTTGGGGTGTATTTCATACTATTTTGATTTAGATGCTGAGACACTTAATTTGTTTCTGGGGCATATGTGGTCCATTACCATCACAAAGCCAATGTTTTGCTTTTTGGTTATATGATAATCATATTTGATCGGTTGAAGTTTAATGAACTTTTCACATTATTATGTTTGTGCAATTACTTGAAGGTATAGGCGTATAGCTACTGACTTTACAGTACTTTGAAACTTTCTTGGTTGATGCTCGTCTATTGAGAATGTCTGCAATTTTTTCATGTCTGCACTTTTTTCTTTCTTTATGTTTGCATGATATATGTATCTGTTTTTGTGTGTCCCACTGCAGGGACCCAAGTCACCATTTCGCAGCTTGGATATTAAAGCCCCAATAAGGAAACAGTTAGCCAATCTAGTAATTGTGGAATATCCTGTAATTCATGTTTTTCTCCCTTCACATAGCTGTGATTTCGAAGTTGTTAGAGATGACTGTGTTAATCATAAACCACATCTCAAGGATTCTCCCAGCACCGATAATGAAAGCCCAAAAGGTGTTACCTTTCATGAGGAGGAAATTAAAGAAGACATCACCAGCGACCCTCAAGTATTTGATCTCGCAGAGCATGGGAATTTAAGTCCAATGCACCAAATCCACAGCCAAAGCAGGTTTGAGAAATCATTAAACAACTTAGATAATGCTTTGTTGGAAGACACTGGAGCAGGCAAAAGTTTGCATTCCGATTCTCATGCCAAGGAATCAGTAGATTTGGAAGACATGAAAATCGATTTTGATCAAGGTTTATTAGATATATTCTCAGATATCATGGCAGAAATCAATGATGATGATTTTCTACATTTTGGAGGTGAATTTGCTGGAGAACCAGAAACAAAAGAAAAGGCCAGCCTTTCAAATACCAAGGAAAACTTCTTTCCTGAGGAATTGGAGGAAGGGGAGATTGCAGATTAACTGGTACCTTATACCTTTTCTAAAATGTTCATTTACAGTCACCCGTTCTGGTTATTTAATATTTATTAATGTTTTTGTGGGGAAATTGGATGTGTTGTGATTATACCGTGGTTATGGTTTGGATTGGCGAAATTATATAGAAATGTCTCACTTTGGGATTATTATTTTTTCTTTGCAAGGGAAACTCATGGGATTTATATAATATTGGCATGTATTGGTCGGTGAATTATAATATGGTTCTACCGAAAAAAAAAAATATAACTAATTAAACATTTAAAAGAAAATGTTGTTTTATCGTTTAAATTATATTAAATTGTAAAATATTGACTCTTAGATAAGCGATTATCAAATAATCCTTGTTCTATAATTTAAAATAATTTAGATTATAAAATAATAAATTTCGTACTTATTGAACAAAAAAAAAAGGATAGAATTATTATTGACTAAAAAAAGATAATGTAATAAAATTGAAAATTTGTTATATAGTGTATGTACATTTTCAAATTGTCCGTTGTACCAAGAAAAAAAAAAAAGAACAAAGTTATTAATTGGATTTTTTTTTTTTTTTGGATTTCATTAATCAAATGTGAAATGATATAATTATGACGCCAAGTTATTGATGGATATCCTCACAATTATAAAATTTGCACGGGCTGAATTTTATCTAGTTCCGTTGGTGTTTATTTCATGTGGGTCTTATATACACATTAATTTCATAACTTTCATCTAGTTCCGTGGGTGTTTTTGGTTGTGTTCTTAGTAAATTCAAGCAAGAACTATGTTTATTTCGCGTTTAATTGATGAATATGTTGGTGAACAAGCATAATTTCCCAACCGTGGATATGTTTGATTTCAGGGTTTGACGCTTGTCCCTTCTGGATTTCGACTGAAGAATATGAATTTGTAAAAATTTTATGTTAGAGCATAGAGAATTTTTTTTTTTTTTTTGGATATAGTAAAATGACTAAACTATAACAATAACCTATTAATTCGAATTAAAGGAATTTAAATCTCGTTAAATAAGATTTTAAATTCAAATTTTATAAATGAAGAAATAAATGTTAGAAAAACTTCTCCCTTCTGGAGTTAATCGAAGCTTAATGTGATTTTTGAATAGAAAGGTTAGTGAAGAAAAAGGAAGAAGAAGAAGAAGAAGCTAAACTGCTAAACTGCATTGACTTATGTTAATGGACTTAACCGGCTCAAGTGGGCCGGCCTGGATTTCGATTTGGGCCAATTCCAAGATTTTATTTAAATGTTTTTTGAGCTTGCAATTCATGCATTTTCCATGGACTTCCAAAAAAAATGGGCCGAACTGAAATGCTATTTGATGGGCTTTCCCAAAAACCTCAGTTTTTTTATCAAAAAAATTTTTAGATTTTAAATTAGTCTTTTCTCATCTTAATTTGTAATTAACAAATAAACATTAATTGATTAAAAATGTTTAACTCAAGCAGAGTTCTATATGATTCTCTGGTATAGACAATCAGGAATCTTGATATCTTACATTTGTCAAGAGCATGGTTTTGAAACTCGGACCAGATCGGCCGGTTGAACTGGTCAAACCACCACCCGGTCATGAAAACGGACTGAATGGATATCCAGAACCGCTTAGGCGATCCAACCACCCAAACCCGCCAGACCCGGTAAAACCGCCCAACCCGGAAGACCCGGTAAACCCAGCGGGCCTAATCCAATCTGCCATTTTCATTTTTTTCCACCGATTTTTAATTCAATACCTATTTTATATATATATTTTTATTTGATACCCCTTTTGCCCTCCTATAAACATTTCAATTCCATGGTAAAATACTAAAAAAAAACACAATTTCAATACAAATTGGTAAAATACTAAAACTAGGAAAGAGGAACCCTAACCAGCTAAGCCTTCTTCTTCGACTTGTCTGGCGTCACTCTTCCTCTCCGGTCTGCAGTTCTCCTTCTCCAGTCTCTAAACTCTAATCCATTGCTTCTCCAAATTCCAAACAAATTGGCAAAGAAGAAACCCAAAAGAACGATTCTTTAGCTCTTAGGTCCAGATTCGGAAACAGAGTTCTTCTTCATCAGATCTTCATCTTGTAGCCATCGCCAAGGTCTTTCTCTCTCTCCATCGGTCGATCCTCATACTGCTTCTGTTCTTCATCAGATTTTCATCTTGTTGCGAAGGTTGTTCTCTTTCTCGATCCTCTTCGACCCGACAATCTGTTGATCTTCTCCAGTTCTCTTCAGGTAATACAGGAATCACTTTCAGCTTGCTGCCTTGCTCTGCATTTCGTTGCTTTAGTTTAGTATATTCCTCATATTTTTATTGCTTATTTTGGAGAGCAACAATTTGTTGGGTTTTGCTTGAATTTTTTCAGCTTGCTGCTTTGCTCTGCATTTCGTTACTTTAGTTTAGTATATTCCTCATCTTTTTATTGCTTATTTTGGAAAGCAACAATTTGTTGGGTTTTGCTTGAATTTTGTTTTGGTATTTTACATATTCGGCATTTCTGTTTCAATTTATATACAGAGTATATTGAATTTTGTTTTGGTATTTTGCATGTTCTGCATTTCTGTTTCAATTTGAACTTTGTTTTGGTATTTTGGAGAGCAACAATTTGTTGGTATATTGCTCTGCATTTCTGCATTTTGATATTTATTTACAGAGCATATTTCTGTTTGAATCTATTCTAGCATGACAAAAAGCTGCTTGGTTTCCTAGAAAATGAGCAATGCCCCGATTTTATTACATAGGAATAGAATTTTTTAGAGATTATATCCTCAAATCGAGCAGAATAGGCAAAGGGCTACAGGTCCCTCTGTTTGTCTTTATGAATGCAAATTATCATAATTTTGTTTAATTATATTATATAGATGAAATTAATGTTAATTAACTGAAATTTGAAAGTAAACATTTGAAACTGAATTAAGTTTATTTTAGTTTTTTAACCATCAGTTTTGGTTTTGTTATTTATGAGAATTACCAAGATTCTTGGTAGTTGAAATGGATCTAAATACTTATTTAGCAATTTTTTTAGCCTTATCTGTTTTGTATTGGGCTGCTTTAATGATTTTATTTTATTTTGTTGTAGAATTACAAAAATATGTATCATCTGGACAAAATTCAATTGCTACATCTTTCCAACCTTCAAGAGCTAAAACAGATGCAGCATGGGAGCATCTTCCCAACCTTCAATAATTGTAATTTATGCATTATTTGCATATTAGTTTGAGTTTTTGGATTTATTTTTCATATATATATATATATATATGTGAGACTTATTAATTTTAAGATTTGTAGTTATATGATACTTTTTTATCTATTTGTTGAGTTTTTGGACTTATTTTTATGTATTTATTGAGTTTTTGGATTTGTTTTAATGTATTTATTGAGTTTTTGGACTTGTAATTGCTACAAATTGCAAGGAAACAAAAGGAGAAAACTGCAGCAGGTCAAACGGAAAACACAAGATTTCTGTTTTTGCATTTTCAGTTTGACCCGGTCGGCCGACCAGTTGAACCGGTCAGACCGGTCAAACTGGCAACCGGTGAGCAAACCAGTTTTATGTCCGGTTCGGGTTTCAAAACACTGGTCAAGAGCAAGAATTAGGGTTCCTATTTTTTAAACTCAGAGATAAATGAAAAGTATGTATTCTTTTATTCTTTAATTAAATTTATTGCAATGTAAAGAGGTGGTGTGCTCTCCATATTTTTTGTCTGTATTC